TGACTTGGCCTCCATTTTGGGGGTTAAGCCTAAACTTTTTAAGTACTTCTTTACGGACCCCAGACTCTGGTGGCACCTGTTCTTCGGCCCCTGTGTTCCCTATCAGTACCGACTTAATGGTAATTATTAATTAAAGATTATTTAATAGATATAATACCTGTATATGACTGCAAACCATTGTATATCAAAATATTGTTGATATAGGTTTATGTTAATGACATTAACTTTTATAATATTACAGGAGTTAGCGAACAATAAATAAACAACTGGCCATATATTATATTATACAATATTAATGTAATAAATTATAAAAACTTAATTGTTAAATGTACTGATTCATAGATTTTGAATTTATAAATAAGTTTATAATAACATATTTACGTCAATAAGTTGGGGACAATGTATTTGTTTGCGTGATCACTACCCAGAGATTGAATGAATGGGTGTCTCATTAAATGAGTACATTTAACACATGGGAACTAATAATCACTTTTAGAAATCATAGGACTTTCTTAAAATTACTTTCATATTCATTATTTGAACGGATATGCATTCATTAAAATTTATTTTTAGGTGACAATTCAAACTATAAATATTGTCGTGAATTGATTGTGACGGTCGACAACAGAATAAAGGCTCCATTGAGGACAAGGCATACAAAATAACTAATATATTGATTGTAAAATTTTTAAAATAAATTTATTTACTAATAAAAATTTCAATTATAACTAGTAATTGTGACACTTTATTTGCAATACTTAATTGTAAGCATAATATAAATACTATAAAACATATTGATCATAATATTAAATTGCAATAATATTTTATACTAATAAGGGGGGTTTAACTTTCTCATAGACTTTCGCTCTCAAACCATATGAGTCGGAAGTGTCTATTAGGATGACCTCAGTATTTGTATGGGTAGGTCAGACACCTCATTAATTGCAGTGTAATATATATTAATTAGTGAGCACAATGATAGATAAATCTATAAAATGCAGTGATTCACTCAAATATTGCTTACAGTTTTCAATACTGAAAGTGTTGAGTATGTCAAAAAAAACTATTTACAGCTAACTGTAATATATAATTATTTCTATGAAGCTTAGACTATAGCTAATTAGTAGTATTTAATTAAATAGTAAAATTTACAAGTGGTTGTCAATAAAGTATGGATCGGGCACTGGTAAGTAAAGGTTTGTTTAATATAGACTTTTGTATAGAATATTCCTGTATAAAATAGCATTATTGCTACAAACTGTAAACGTTAATTAAAATTATTTTAAATATACTTAACTTTAGAAATACTAAAACTTTCTAAAACGTTAATTCTCTATGATTGAGCATTTAATTGTTTTTGAATTATGTTCATTTTACCTGTAAATAGAAAATACAATTCTTAGTAAATAGTTATATTATGGAATTCAATATAAAGTATCATTAATAAAATGAAAAACAAATTTATCATGAAAACGAAATTAATTTAAATTACTGTATTACTAATGATATTGAACGTTGAGATAGAAAAAATCATTTATGTTTCACAATAATCAAGATTTATGCATTTAAAAAATACAGTTAATACCGATTGAAGGTTAAAAAATAGTTTTAGATTTAAAATATCATTAAAATATTGTTTTTTGCAAATCCATTTGATATTTAATTGATTTATGGAGTGAATATTTTGCTGTATTAAAAAAATACAGTTAATACCGATTGAAGGTTAAAAAATAGTTTTAGATTTAAAATATCATTAAAATATTGTTTTTTGCAAATCCATTTGATATTTAATTGATTTATGGAGTGAATATTTTGCTGTATTCAAAGTTTTTATTTTGAATTTCAATTGTAATAAAATGTTTATATAACAAATCTACTGTTCAAAATAAATGAAATGCGAAATATTATGTTTAAGGCTTACTATAAATCATTGGGAATTATAATTATAATTATTTAATTGACATGTGTTTTTCAATATTTTTTATGTTAGCACGGGCAAATGCCCGAATAATGTACCAACTTATTATTGTCTAATAATCTTAAATTAAACAAGTATGAGAATTTGGTTTAATTAAAAATTAGCAAAAAGTAATTAACTAATTAGTGACGGGAAACAAATTTTACTTATAAATTATTTTGAAATTACAATTTTTAATTACTCTTTTTTCGCAAATTATTTGTAAGTAATAATTATTAATAAAATTACATTATTTTTTAGCTAGTTAGCTTTCTTATTTTAAGACTGATAGAGTATAACCATTATGAATTTATTGAATTAAACTACATAATATAGCAGCTATTACTGTATTATGACAATATACTATAAAAGTCGTAAACAAATTAATGATGTACAAACATCCATAAAATTTTATTAGTTTAGCAATGTACAAAATGCGAAAATAGTAAATTTATCCATTTTTACAACAAAAAGAGAAATATCAATTTTTTAATTAGAAATAAGATAATTATAATTTAATTAGCCTTACCTGTAATTTAGGTAAAACCAATTTACATTCAAGAGGTCAATAATATATGAATTATTTTGCATTTACATAAATACAGTACTGAATGTAAAATAATTAATTAAAAATTGATAAATGTTTCTAATTTAAAAATCTAATTTATTACCAATATATAAATTATACGCAACTTAAAATTTCTATAAAATCTATAAGATTTATATTTCTATTATTTATTTTATCTAGATGACCACATTGACGTGTGATTAAATTATTATAATAAAGTTAATTTATAGAATAAAAGTACCTTTGCATAACCTGTACTTGTAAAATTATAATTAATTGGTACGGGTAATATAATTGTAATTGAATGCACATTTAGAAAAATTAGGAAAATTAATTAGAAAAATAAAATAATTACTCTGACAATGCTCATTGAAATATGTCACGTCAAAATAAACAAGCTAAGTGATGACGGATAACAAATACTACAAAGCATGAATTTAGTGGTAAACTATTAAATAAATATTTTTTTATATTGATTTTAATTTACCAGGCTATAAATAATGGTTGTAAGGACGGGCAAATACCTGTGCGATGTGCGCTGAGATGTGAAAATATAATTTTGTTTCCCAAATTATAGTAGCATTGAATTTTGACGTAAAATCATTAAGTAACACTACAATAATATCTATCTAACATAACTAATACAATATCATTGTATATACACCAAAAGTATACATAAAAATAATGGTTAATAATATAAAGTTTCATAATTGTCGTAGTAATTATGACTAAGTAAGCTACGGTAATTAAATGAAAATTTAAAACATATTTTTATGTGCATTATACCGGTGTATATACTGTACCCATAAAAGGGAAACATTCTATTATAGTAGTAATTAGAGAATATTATTGAACGCAATGGCAATGAATTGTTTGCGAACTCGAAGTTCATATAAAAGTAAACTTCAATTCTTGGAGTGAAACAAAAGTTTAGAAAATCATTATTTTCTGTTTTATTTTCATTGATTGAATGAATGAATTAAAAGTCAAACTAAGAGTCCGTTTGTAGGAATGGCTGCCAAGAGGATAGCAGTGATCGGCGCCGGCAACTCAGGTATGGGTGCCTTCAATGCCTGTCGGGAACAGGGCTTCGATGTCGTGGTGTATGAGAAGACCGACCAGATATGCGGTCTCTGGCAGTATAGGGATGAGGAACTGGATGGTAGCGCCTCCATCATGAAGTCCACTACTATCAACACCAGCAAAGAGATTACACCCTTTTCTAACTTCCCGGCGCCCAAACACTTCCCTAATTATATGCATAATACAAAAATGGTATTTATTTATTCATTATTATTTAATAATTTGTATGAAATATTCTATAATAAATAATTTTTCATTCTTTAATTCTGTTATCTTAATTAGAAAAAGTTATTATTTATTTAATATAATTTATACACTATTTAGATAATACGGTAGTCATTATCATTTAGACATTAACTTAATATTTTAAGATCTTTTACCAGTATTTTAATAATCTTTATTAATCATCAATTTTTATCAATCATATAAGTATTATTAAAATACTAAATGTAATAGCAATACTAATTTAATTTGAAAACATATTGTAATGCTATTATTGTATTAATTAATTTTTTTGACAAATATTTTACTTTACTTTTACAAAGACTAAAACTTATTCATAAAAATTTTCTAATAAAAAGGCAGAATATCTGACATTATATGCGGAGAAAATCGGTTTCAAAGCACACCTCAGACTAAGACATGAATTAATAAATTGCGACCAAAATGCTGATTACGAGGAGACGGGCAAATGGAGGCTAACGGTACGCGACATTAATAATGAGCGCGTATTTCATGAAGTATTTGATGGGGTAATGGTGTGCACCGGACATAACAACCAGCCATCGGTGCCTACATTCAAGAATCAGCACATATTTAAGGGACTTCTCATGCATTCACACGCTTTCAAAGATAATAAGGGCTTTGAGGGAAAACGGGTGGTTGTGGTCGGCATCGGGAACTCAGGCGGAGATATTGCCGTCGAGTTGTCTAATGTGTGTCCAAACGTAAGTAACTAAAAATGTTTTGTAATTATTTAATTTGAATCAAAAGTGAAACAAGAAATTTATAATCAATAAGAATTTTTAACATTAACTGTAATAGATAATTTTATTATAGTATTATAGGAAATATTGATATTTTAGCAACGATTATAAATTATAAATAAATAGTGTATGAATTCTTTAATCATTACTGAATAATCCCTTTAGTTA